ATAGATTGCTTCTATGTGTCTGTACCACCGGACAACATGGAAATACTGGTCCACAGGTGGCCCCGAAAACTTTCTGAACACCTCCACATCTGCATGTGAAAATGTGAACCCCTGGATATAACTACGAGTGCTCAGGTACTCGTTCAAAGCCTTCACCCTGGCTTCCTCTTCACTAATGCTCAGAATAAAACTGTAGCTGGAAGCTGTAAAGACAGAGGCACAGGACATTTAGTCAGCATTAAAAGAAGGAGATCCCATTACTAAAATATATCCTTATACTACACATCACCCCCTCCAAATTAGCTCTGGCAACTGACAAGAAATTTGAGAGAAATGTATTTAATACAAGATAATGAATAACTACGCATTTTCGATTAATAGGTTTTTGCTCACACTGTGGTACGTAGACCACCCTCTCTCCTCAGACATGAATAACACTTAAAATGAATATGATTAAAGAGATGTACAGAAGGACACTGGCATGTGCTTCTCCTTCACAACTGCTCAGTTCTACAATTTATTTGGTACATGGGCAATGCGGGTTTAATTATGCTTCATCTTTGCAAACACAAGAACGTGCTCCTATAGAGGAAGCAACCAAAGGAAACTCACAGTAATGGCATGCCCTCTGCAAGCCAGTGGATATGAAGCCTAACCCTGACATTTTCCTATGGTGATTCAACATCTGAAACTCTGTTCATGTTCAAAGCACTGTGTAAACATGAAGCCACCATCCTGCTTGGGTAGTTAGCCAAGAAAGTAATTTAAGACATGGCCAAGGACAACAACGTGTGAGGGAGGCAGTAATAGAACACCTGTCCCTATTCCCAAATCCTACAGGGATCACTGTCACAAATGCTGCTTTCTGCACTGGCAGAACCTTTTCTGCACAAGCAGCTTCCAAAGGCCAAAACTCTTGGGAAGGGAAGGATGAAAGGTGCCCGAGGAAAGTAGGGGAAGGTGCAAGGAACTGCAGAATCATAGAATGTCCTGGATTGAAAAGGACCACAATGATCATCTAGTTCCAACCCCCTGCTAAGAGCAGGGTCGCCAACCAGCAGACCAGGCTGCCCAGAGCCACATCCAGCCTGGCCTTGAATGCCTCCAGGGATGGGGCATCCACAGCCTCCTTGGGCAACCTGTTCCAGTGCCTCACCACCCTCTGTGTGAAAAACTTTAACTAAAAAGTTTTTTTTCACACAAATATTATCAGTTAGGACCTCACGAGCAACTCATTTCCTGCATGAAGATCAATTATTAAAGTAATCTAGTAAAAATTAAACAGCTGCTCTCAAGGAAAAGAGGAACTCTGATAAGAGGGAAATGGCAGCTTGATGCTGAGTACATTTGTGTTTGACTTTCTTGAACACAGCAAGATAAGTGGCACAACACTTTAGAGCCCATCAGAACAAATGTAAAAAATCAGAGGTAGAAAAAATAAAAACTAAAAGTCACCAACAATATTAAAAATTCATACACCGAGGCAGAATTACCCTATGTTCCCAGTCCTTCTCGAGGGCTGTCCATGTAATTGTTAATTCTAAATAAGGAGTAACAAGTCAGTAATGGTTCACAGTGAGGCTGTACACCTAGCCTTACCCAGCCGAATGGGATGTGGCTTTGGCTCACACAGTTACTTTTACTACAGACTTTTCAGGCTCCCAAATATTTACTGATATTTATCAACGCGGAACTTCACGTGTTTATACAGATTAAGTAGTTTGAAACAGTTACCTTCAAGAACTGTGGAAACCTAAGACAAGTGAATTTTGTGTCCATGAATCAAATGATGGAAAAACAAATGGCAGGGATAATCTGTGTAAAAATGAAACTATATCTCAAAGAAAAGATCTTTAAAGATCTGTTGCAAGGAAAGCAACACTCCACTCACTAAGTATTATTAGGGTTATTATGGCCATTAATCATACACCAGGCTGCTAATGGGAATCAACTCAGTGTATCTGAAACAGTATAACTGCTTTCCAACCACATCTATAAACCAATCTAAAAGGGGAAGTTGTACAAACACACATACAAATAAAACAAAGATGACAGAACCCGTATACGCTACTTTCAGTGAGGAGAGGCAGCAAACACGGCTGGTACCAGTTCAGTCCTGGTAAGCAGGATAGACAAAATTCATTTGAACAATCTCAGTGCACACATTAATACCTGAAATTATAAGTCTGACGTTATGCCTCAGTGTAAGAGCAGCCAACTCAGAAGTATAATGCATCAGAGAAACCAGTTAGCTCAGGGAACCTAATAGAAGGGAGGTCTTTATGTTGAGAAAGATCACTGACTCAAATTCAGCTCCTACAAAGAATGAATACAATAACACTGTACTTGGAAGGCAGCATACCACAGAGAAGTAGTGCCATTTGTTTTTATGGAAAACAAATCAGTCAAGACTATCCTTCTATAAAAGTCTGTTCCAATCTCCTTGCTATCACAATAAAAACAGGAGTAGTCACTCTGCAGAAGTCTGTTTTCCTGGTATTTACACCTGTACTCTCAATCCCTCCCCGTCAGGATATCACAATACCTTCAATTCATTACACATTCCCACTGAAATACTTTTTGGTCTTTCTTCATGTACTTTCCTCACAAACCTCAGCAACTCCAGGCTCTCCTACATCTCTGACCCATCTTCGCTCGGTCTGCCAGCTGTCTGCAAAGGGACAGCCCACTGCAGAATTTAATTAACACCAATCTATGGATTCAACAACTATTGAGAGAGACAGGCCAATGGACACATACGGCACCAAGTTTCCTAACACTGGTCTTTAAGAACCTATGCTAATAAATTGATTATTCTCTTGAACTATAATTTTCTCTTTTCTCCTAAAATAGAAACTGCAGTTGCTGCTTCTCAGCAGCACTGGGAAGCGTCTTCTTGGCTACAGAGCTGTTGCATAAGAACACTGAATTCACTCATGTGAATGGAATGATCCACAGATTCTAAATCACGTCACCTGTGAGCAGCTCCATTCAGAAAACAAGCACTGTGCACAAAGTGGTGGAAAGGAAGCAAAACAACCTTCAAAAATCCTAAGAATGAATACTGCTAATGTAACGCTCTCCCATCATTAGAAGTTGTTTCAAAAAAATTCCACTGTAGACACTAATACAGCCCTCACACAGTAATTGCTGGTGTGCAGTCTCTTTGAGCAATGTAATTGTCACACATTCTTCTTTCCATACGCAGAAGGCTTTGGTGACAGCTGGGGGTACTGGGAAACAGGCTGGAAGGCTGTAGCAAACACAGACTCAAAGGAATAAGCAAACAGCTTTCAAAGTTTAATCGTGAGGTGAGATACACATTATAACAAATTTGATGGAAATTTTCACTTTTATTCATTTGAAAAAGGTAACAAAAGCATGATGTCCCAAAACCATCTGCTCCTTGAAAAAGGAAACAAAAGCTTCCAAAAACCTCTGTTTCTTGTAGGTTCTGACAGCAAAGCGTATACAGGAAAGCCATAAAGCAGCCAGTAAGGTCACTTAAACAGAAAACAGAAGCTATTTTGCTTCAGGGAAAAATTAAGTTTCCTGGGCATCCCTGAACCTGCTGACCTTGTGGGTCACACCTGTAAGCCAACCGGAACGCCCTGGGGTTTCTGTGGTTGCACTCTCTGAGAGGAAACCTTAGTATTCGGAGTATTTTCAAGAGTCATTTCTTGTCCAACTGGGCTTTCACAAAATAAAATAACTCATAAAAGAAGCTGGTAACGTATCGGTATTACTGCAGCTCCAAACTGAGAGCCAGAAATGGGGCTTCCCTAGACTCGCATGTGGGGATCAGAGTGCTGATAGCAGTTATGGGGTTTTAGGACAGGCATATCCCACCACGGGAGTTGCTCAGACCTATTCACTTCAGCCCTATGAGTTCCACTTTCCATTTTCCCAAACTGAAACCAGATCACAGTCCAGGTCCAGCACCAGGGCTGTTCTACCATGAAGGAATGGAACTAAAAACGTTTCTTAAGCGCACTCAGAATTGAGCGTTTGGTGTCAGACTAAAACGCTGACAAAAAGACGGGGCTTGGAAATGGGCATTTCTGGACACAGGAATGGTAAGAAAAGAGGGAAATAACTTTTAGCAATCCAGAAAAAAGGGACAAAATCTTAGAACCTCAGCTGGAATGACACAAATTTCCAGCCCCTGACGTACCATCGTGGTATTTCACTCTTGTACGACTGGTATTCCGAGTTTATATTTGCTACAGGAGAGCCCCGTCCCTCCTTCCATACGGAAGAGAACAGGCGCAAATAAAGAAGATGATAATAAAATAATACAAACCCGTCGAGAAAAAAACAGAAGTTGCACCTCAGAAATACGTCGCGGTGGGGGCGGGGGGGGGGTTGCGGGGTCGCCCCGCCGTCCCCACCGCTGAGGGGGGAGATCGAGGCGACGTCCCCGCCGCCATTTCGCGCCCCGACGCCCCCCGCCGGCCGCCATTTCGCGCCCCCCAGCACCTCGCGCGCCGCCTGACAGAAGCGCCGCTCGGCGGCCCCCCCGCCCCGCCGCGTGACGTCACGGCGCCCACCTGACGCTCTGACAGCGGCCGGGGCCATGACATCATCCCGGCGAACGCCCTCAGCGCCTTCATGGCACCGTGACAGTCCCGGAGAACGCCTCCCCTCGCCTCGCCGGGCCCCCTGGGATGAGCCGCGACTCCCTCCACACACCTACCCTGTTCGGCTGGGGCCGCTGCCATCCTGCCGCCTCCACCTCTCGCCGCCGAGCTGATGCAACAGCGTGCCCGGAAGCGGCTCCCGCCTCGCCCCGCCCAGCCCGCGCTACGCTACTTCCGACCTGTGGTCGCTATGGCAACCGGCCCCGCGCCTCTCGGCCCCGCCCTCAGCGCGCCTTCCCGCCTCGCGAGGGACGGCCGGGCGGGCGTCGCGCGGCTGGGCTCGTCTCAACCGCCGCCATTTTGTGCGTAGGGTTCTTCTCGCGCCCAGCCCCATCCCTCGGCCAAGAACCAGCTCCAGCCTTTGTCTTCAGTGAGTTTTTATTGCCGTACTTTGAACATTTCGCATGCCACGTGCTCCCACCACAAATGAAATGCGATTATCTCGTAAACAAAAATAAGGCAGTTCAGTCAAAAACTGCAACAGGTGTTCTCAGCTCCACAGAGCGCAATAAAGGTAGCTTCTTTCCTCACAGCTTCACAAAGGAAAGGCAAACTCAGAAGCTCAGAGCTCCTAAATTGCCACTGGCACCTGAGTTTTCACATTGTACTACTCAAAAAAACCCAAATCAAATAAAATAAAGCAAATATTGCTGCTGGAGTCTTGTCACAACTCAGCACAGTCTGTGTTAAATGACTTCCAGCCCGCGTGCAGATAAGAAGGGCATCACATCCGCACAGCCACTGTTACCTGCAGCTTACGACATCCTCACTTATACAAGCTTCCTATATACATACAGGAACATTTCTGAAATTCATTGGAAATGTTAAGCTGTAGCTTCTATTTTACTTATAATGTTATTACTTGTTAAAGTGTGGACTATTTTACTGTAAGCCCTGGTATCTATATCCCTTAGCTCATCCAGTAACTTAATAATAGTTTGTTTCTCCCCCAGCATGTTTTTCCAGGTGAGAAGCATCTGATAAGATTGCTCATCTGTGTTATTAGGCCACTTATATTCAATTTTATCAATAACATTTTCCTCCAGATGAGTTCTCATAAGCTTCCTCCATTTTTTCACCGGTACTGTATTAATAAAAGCAAAAAAGCAATCCATCTGTTCTGAAAAGGAAAAAAAAAAAAAAAAAGCATATTACTTTAGATTCCAAAATATAGTATGTCTTTCCTCTGCAACCAATATGCACGTTTCCCAATCACTTTTTAGCTAATGCATGCACGGACTAAACAGTGGCAGCAAGATTAGGCTTGTCATCTAAGAAGCAATAGGACAAACAGGCTTCCTACTTACCTTAACAAAACTAAAGGTACCAGTCTGTACATCTAAAAAGTATTCTCAAGACAAAATATTATTCAGTAACAGAGGTTTTAGGGAATATTTCACTGACTTGCATGTTTTTACTTAGTTTTAACACAGCTACTCAACTGTAGCCTTTAAACACCTCACTATGCTATCCGTGTAGGCATGCCATGCTAACACCAGCACTAACAAAGCCTATCACTTTGATACCCAGCACCTCAGCTTGCTGGTTACTTGTCGGGCTTTGACACAGTCTCACATATAACAGACATTTGTTAGAACTCCTATTCTGACATGCTCCCCAGTCATTAAGGCAGTCCCACTGCTGTCATATAGACTTTTTTTATACATACTGACAAATTCTTTATTGTGCTTATTCTTCAAAGTAAGAATGTATTATACTTCCAGAAGATCTGTGCATCAAAGTAATCTGCCACAGTGATTGTGACTTAAATACCGTAATAATTCTATTTTAGCATCTTACATTCAAATGAAAGCCTTATAGACTTAAGCAATATTCATTAGTCTCCTTGAACTATTCCTTCAGTGTATACTAAAGTCAACAAGAAAAAGCAAATTCAAACTACTTGACCATCTGTACAATACTTACCTTTTTGAGTCAGATCTTTAACGATTATTTGACATTTTTGCTTTTGTACCTGTGATTAAAAAAAAGTTGGACCATTACTGTAGCATGTCAGAACACTTAATTCACAATTAAGAGAGCTTAACTTCTGAGCTACTCAATAGATTACTTTCAGTGTATATGTGCCAATAAAAGAGTGGGGAAAGCTTCACAGCACAGCTGAAAAAAATTGAGTAAAGAAAACAGCACGCTGAAAGCAGATGTGCTACTTACTATCTAAGTGAAGCAACAAGGCAACATATTTGCTGCTATTGCAAAAGAACTGCTCTTGTACAAACTCTGAACAAAAAGGTGAGAGGTACTGCAGATTAAAGGCTGAACTGAAGTTTGCTTTCCCAAGATATCACTTCCCATATTTTCTACTGTATCTTTTAAGCAAAGGCTCCACTTCCTTATAATACTGTCTTGAAAACAGCATCTATTACTCATGGAAGAGGGAAGAGGTCAATTCAAATTATACCTATATCAGTAAAAAACATTATGAGATTATTTTTCCCTAACTTACCATACGATATGCTGGCATCTTAACACCCCTTACTGTACACTGGGCATTTGGTTGAAAAGTAGGATTACAACTATTTTTTGTAGATGATGACCAGTTTTTGATCCTCTTCCAACATTCTTGTGTTTGGTACCACAAGTTCTTCTGTGAGATGGTGCCTCTCTCATAAGACACAGCATTGTTTTCCTCTGGAGATGTGTTTTTCACTTCCAAATTAACATTATCGTACGCTTGGCCCTCTGGGTTCTCACCAGAGTTCTCACTGTCTGGATGGGATGCATTATTTTCAGTTATCTTCACTTCTGATAAAAGCGTATTATCTTCATATGCCTATAAAGAAAAATAACTTATTTTAGAAGTTTCACAGACAGAGCTCTGTGGACAGTTTAGAGGAAGAAAACAGAATACTTGAAATCACCAGTATCAAAGAAAAACATAGGAGAGGTGCTTATTAAGTGAAGTTAAAAAAAAATATGCAACACAGCCTTTATAGATGTATTTCAGTCAGTCTTAGAGCCTAAACTCTTCACCTTGCTGGCTGTTCTGCTTCCTCTAGACTGCATGGTAACTCTCATAATCTATCCACAACAACTGCAAGGAATTTTTCCATGTATTTTCACTGCTTGCTCCTCCCTGGGTATAGAAGAGGCATACCCCTCCTAAGCAGGAAAGAATGCAGTTGCCACAGTGCATCTAAGCTAAAATGACCAATCAGCCTGCTAACAGGCTTTAAACCTATCACTGTATGAAGTTCAGAGCTTTGCTGAGCTGACAGACCATTATCAGCTCTCTGTGAGTGTACTAATATGCACTTGTTTGTTTTTAAGTAGGTTTTCCTCACATTCACACAACAGATCCAGTTCAAAGAAGGTACCAGAGCAAACTGTATATCTTTAGCTAGGGGAATAAAGGTAGGGGGAAGTATCACTTTCTGCATTATCAACGCATTAAATAAGCCTGTGACCACAGGGTGACAGTGACCCACAGGGAGTAGTAGAAGCATGAAACAGACCAGCAATGTATAGAGTTTATCAGCTTGTGTTGAAAGCAAAAGTTTTCAGGCAGCATTAATTTATTTATTTGAAGTAGAAAGTAAGGACAAGTGTTAATTGTTTCTCCCATAAGACTTGGTTTTAAGATACATTCCCCCCATAAGCAACTGGACACTTTGTATGAGGTCAGTGGCCACACAGCACCAGCACACATAGGCAGGGATGCAACAGGAGCCACCCCACCCAGCACATGTGTAGTTTGGCTCTATCTTCACTGAATCCATTTTAAGGATGCAAATGAAATAAACATGCTGCTCCTATCTACAGAGAAAATTCTTATATAGGTCACCGAAAGGCTTACAGCATGGTTGACTTACAGCTGCTGACCAGTTTGGGAAATAAGATAGCAGCAATATACTTACAATGCACGTGTTTTACTGTACAATAAGTTTACTAACACTCTCAAGGACGATGTGCTGGTGCTTCAAGTGTCTGGTCTGAGGACCATGCAACTCTCCAATTATCTTAATTACAGTAGCATGAATTCTCTAAGTACATGGGTACTGCAAGTCATGCTTGTTACAGTTACTTCATAGGTAAGCATCATCATATACAAGTTTGTGATTACAGTCCACCTACAGTTTTATTCAAAAAAACAAAAAGTAATTATTTCTGCCTGTTCCTATACTACACCAGTTTGACCAGGTATTTTGCCATGTTCCTTCAGCAGCTTCTACAAGAACATGAAGCACTGTGAACCTGGCCAGGGTGCAGGAAGAAACAACCTGACAAAACCTATTGGATGATTCATATATTTGAGCCACTTATGGACCTTAAAAAAAAAAAAAAAGAAAAGAAGAATTTAAGGTAATGTTTTGATGATCTCTCAATTCCGTCCTTTCAGTCTTTGAATATTTGTGACATTTAAAATGCATTTAATTACTTGAAATGTTTAACTAGTAAAATTAGACAAAAGCTCATGCATAAAGGGAGCAGAACTTGTATTGGGTAAGAGACAAAAAAGATGCACGTATTTTTCTGCTACATGCGCCATGAGGAATGTGGATCCTTTTCTTAAATTCTGAAGACATTTTAGGGCCTGGTGTTAAGCATCATTAACTACTCCACTGACATCAAACTTCTTTACATCTTGCTGTGCAGTTCGAGTGTAACTTTATTCAGAAATTTCTAAATAGAGAAGCTAAATACTATTTAACTAGTCTAGTCTTATCTCACTAAATGCAAGACTAGAAATCATGTAGTTCAGTTGAAAGGGAGACATACAGAGATCATCAAGTCCAATTGCCTTGAGACCAAAAGCAAGTTATTAAATGGCATTGTTTTCTGACTGTGTAGAAGTAAGGTTCTTAAACAGTCCTTGACTACAGGGTGGCCAGGGTGAAAACAGCTTTATCAGCTAGACATGCATCAGCAGCAAGCCTTAGTGTGGTAAGCCATTTGCAGGGCTGTCACCCTGAACTGGCATGCTCTGAGCCCTGAACTCCTTGATTTACGGGACAGTCTTGGATCAAGGCATTAGACTGTAGGTCCTGCTTCGTAGCTTGCAGGAGACTCAGTTACTTTGTCTGCTGACCACAAGGAGTAATCTTATGGTCTAGCTTTCCTTGCATTTTGAGTATATCAGCATGCAGGAAAGAGATACCTGTCACTTCTGAGGAATACAAGCATGAAGTAACAAATAACCAATGGAATCAAAGCATCGCTCAGCAACAGCTTGAAGTGAACACTTGTACTTCGCCTATTTCCTCCCTTACCCCCCCAGTTTTGCAACATCTCAGACACAGGCTCTGTAATATTTCCAGAGCAAGAACCAGGAAGGCCAATTTCAATGGAAGTGAATGCATGAAATATAAAATCAACTAGTTGCACCTCAGGAACGCATCCCACCAGAGGCATATAGGGAGACAAAAAGAAAATCAGGAGCTGTGTAACAAGCAGTTAGTCATGCAAAACTTCATCCTTTATATACTTACCAGACTCTTCTCTTCTTTGTCAGAGAAAATGGCTGGAAAATAAAATTAAAGCTTAAGATACTTCCGGAAATTGCTGTAAGTTAAACACAGCTAAACTCATGCAGTAGTTATATATAATAGACTTTTTACATAAGCCAAAGCTCCAGAACCAGTCATTAAGTTTCTTTGAAAGGACAGTCTTTACATGGAGAACTGCCCTTAGCTTCCACCAACAGTGAAAACAGTGACAAGCAGTCCTGCTGCATGAGACAGGTCTCAAAATGCAGTTTGGATTTTAAAACACTCTCCCCATCCCCAAGCCTATGCCTCTTAGGCATTTTCATGAGCTGTTGCAATAGCTAAAGAAAAGGCAGAGATTGTTTCTACTGCAATAAATGCAGTAAGCTGTGGTTTGAATAAAGTTGACTTTAAAACTTTCAAATCATTCCCAACATTCTCATTTAAGCTATTCACAAAAAAACTTCAACATGCAGGAAAGGAAAAATTTTTCTCAGACAAATTTATAAATCTCTGCAAGATTAATTGACAGTGGACATATCAACATTCGTACTAAGTTGTTAAAATGGCACAAGGGCAGTGAAATATATGAAAACCTTCACAGCCAAATCCAATGAATGTAAGTAATTAATGATCTGATTAGTTGCTACTTCTTGCACCCTACCTCTGAGCTCACTACTCATTTTTCTTATACCTTCATTAATACTATGAAGTAAATGAGGACCTCCCTTTACACGCCCTGTGCTAAGCTTTGAGGCTAAAGCATCCATTCAGTTAAAGCCTGTAAGTTTTACTGGATAAAACTGCTCTTCATTTTTCTCAGGCCAAACAACCTGGAGCTTGCCTATTAAGCAGGCCCCATATGATAATGTCAAGAACAAGGATAGCCTTGGTGCACATTCTGCCTTTTTCTGCTAAGTTTGTGGATACTAATAAAGCAGAGTTACCTTTACCACTCTTACACTTCCTTATTCCGTAGAACACAAGCAAACCAGCAGAAAAAACAGCAACCAAAATTATTACAGTCATCCAAGTAAGATGTTTATTTCCTGCAAATGAAAATGAACAGAATTAGAGTTTGAAGCAGTTCTCAGATGAGATAGTTGTAAGTGTGAGCCTTCCTTGCTACAGAACAAACTAAGCTACACATTAGTATAATGCCCCAGCTGTTGTGGAAGACATGCTGGGTATTTCAGCTGACCTGAATCCAAGTACAGGTTTCCATTGCACATCATTATTCCAATAACAGTGAGGGATTCTGTACAGTGTCACAATACAAAACCCACTAAGCTTTCAGAAAAGAGAACGTGCAAGAAATGAGAGGAAAAAAAGTACACAAAAGATGGCATTTCAGTACTTCCAATAGGGCCCATTCCTTCCCCCCAGAAAAAAGTCACACTATACACAGCTTCTTGGATATGCTAAATATTAGAAGTGTTTGTACCATCCACCACTTCCAACAGCATCGCTGTTGATACTCCAAGAACCCTTAGCATATCTGCAGCTTTTTCAACAGTGTAACCCTTTCCTCGCAGTGAAGTTTAAGATATTTGTCTCTCCAACTCATTTGGGAACCTGTCTCTATCAAATAACTCCTAGGCTAAAACACAAGAAGTCTTAAATATGCTGCAGTAGTTCAAGCTATTGTGTCATAATCTACAATTCATACACCCAGTAGACAAGCCAAGTAATACTTGTGTTCCAGACCTTGGTCAGGTAAGCCACATCCTAGGTCCATTGTAGCATTGCAGATCTGCACAATTTTTTTCCCTTCTGGACACCTAAAGTCAGTGGCAATACAGAGGTTTTTAGAAACATTTGCAGGTCTGTCCATGCCAGTTTATTTTCTGGCAAAGCTTAGAAACATTAACAGAACTTCAACAGGTGACATTAGGAATTCATCTTTCAGTTTTAAAAGAAACATTGATTAAGTAAAAGAAAAAACAGATAAAGCTTATGTATGCCTCTAAGTTGAGGAAAAAGGGGTAGATGCATTATTCATTCAGTCAGTTTCCTCCAACAGGAAGTTCTACCTCCCTGAGTTTCAGGGTGGCTGCTACAAAGCTTATTCAGTTACCAATATGGGGAAAAGCACTAAACTAGAGAGACACAGGAAGTGTAAGCATACAGCCATATGCAACAAGACAGACAGGATCAAAATCTGCAAACTCTAGGTTTGAACCTCATTTATTTTGTCACCTAGAGCTCAGAAGCATGACCAGCACCATTAGGCTTCAAGGGAATTATTTACAGACAAATAGCACATGGTAGGCATGACACAGATTGGGCCACAGCTGTTAAGTCTAGAAAGAACATGGTTGCTTCAGTACCCTATTTAACTTACATTCGACTGCATTTCTGACATATTTCACAGCCTTCAGCAGGGCAGAAGTATCCCTGTTTGCATTGGCATTCAGTGTCACTCGTCACAGTACAGGTTCTTGAAGTTATCTGGTCTAAAAAACAGGAGTTAGAAAACAAAGTTGTGGCTCTGCACAACTGTGCACAAGTCGTATGCTGGTCATAAATGGGATTTATTTTTTTCCAACTTCAATATTCTCAACAACTAGAAGTGCAAAAGCAGCAGAGGACCAGGCTTACTTCAAGGATTAAGGGGCCTGAAGTTAAAGATTTAATTGAAATTTTTCTTGGTACCGTCTTTGCACTGTCTGCACAGCAAGCATTCTTCCAAGCCATTCGCATGGGCAGTGTAATCTCTTCCTTCGGTGCAAGAGGCACATATTCCCTTTGAACGCGGAGTACTGCAGTGCTCAGCAACATAAGTACCTGTGGAAGAGGAGAACTGGTGGCCGCAGCAGCACTCTCAGAATGTTACAACATAAAACCATTTTTAGTCAAAGTTCAACCCTTCCTGCAAGCAAACAGCCCAACACAGGAACCAAGGGGCACCAAATGGTCAGGAAGCACAATCACAACAAAGGCAGCAGCCATCCAGGCCAAGGAACAAGTATGATTCATTACAACAGCAAGATATTGCTCACGTGGCAAGTGCCATCTTGCTGGAAGGGACATGGCAGGCACAGGAGATTTGCTTGTGCAACAGAAACAATCCAGGAGGTCTCTCATTTCCATCCAAATTCTTTAAATTCAGCCTATAGCTCTGTGATACTACCCAAAGGCAGGGTACTTCTCTGCACAAAGCTGCATTGACTGCACAAGGAGAGAAACGGGGAGAACAAATGCAAGGTGAAGTTCTACACGCAGAACTATCAGAATTCCTCTGGGCCAACTGTTAGAAACAAAGAAGCCACCCGACTTTGAACACTTCATCCTCAGAATAGGCAGAGATTTTTCAGAACTGCTGCCAAGGCGCCTCACCCAGTCCTTATTGCACAATATCCCGCCGCGAAATAAAGGCCGGCCCCGGCAGCGCCGAAGAGCCACCGGCAGCGCCAGCTGGGCCTGCGCTCCTCCCTGATGGAATGTGGAATAGCGGCCCAGCCACCTGACATAGGGGGAAACGGCCGCTGCCTTCCTGGAGTCTCACCTGCCGGGCACAGCATGCAGCAAATGCCTTCATACAAGTACTCTCCCTCTCCGCAGACCTCTGCGCCGCTTCCGGGCATTGTAAGCAGGGTAACCTACAGCAGAGACCAACAGGTGTTTTCAGGTGATTCATTGTGGATAGCGATCTCGGGGAGATGGTTCTGTAAGCTCACGGGAAAGCCGCAAGGGAGCCCAGACTAATTTCTGTTAAGTGTTCTGCTCACAGCGGTAATTACAGTCACAAAGGATAGGTTAGGGCAGCACCGCGCTTAGAGCCGCAGCTAAAGTGCTGTAGGAAAGCTGCTCCGCCTCCCCCCCTCCATTTCTCCGCTCATTCACCGGCGACACACTTCGGAGGCTGTTTCGTACCTCCTACGAGGGATTCGTTTCGCTCTCCCTCGCCACATTTACTGTGTTATTTTAACTTAGAAAGCTCTGCGTCTTCCGTGGGACAACCAGAGGGAGAGCCCAGTGAATTCTCAGACGGCATTTCTCCCTGGCTCCATAATCTTCAGCAGAAGACAAGTTAGTAAGACATAACGGAGAGTTACTGCAGCCACACGAGCGCTAGCAGTAAGCTTCCGCCCTCCGAAAGAAGCCCGTGTGGCTGCGCGGCACCTCCCGCGGAGCGGCACGAGGAACGAAGGCAGCCAGGTGCGGGGGGCCGGCCAGACGGCGGGCCAGAGAGCGGTGAACTATGGCAGAAGAGGGATGGGACGGCCCCGAAGCTCCGCTTCGGCTCCGCGAGCGGCCGACTTAAAGCCGGGAGCACTCCGTTCTGCCGCCGCTCCCTTCCGACTTTCTCTCCGCGAGACACCGAAAGTCTTCCCCACAATTGCGGGCTTCGCGAACCCCTCAATTTCACAATTAGATAACAGAGCGCTATTAAAGATTTCACTCCCGCTTTGTCGCTCCCTTTCCTACGAGGAGAGGAAGAGCCGCAGCCTCTCTTGCGCTACTCCAGACGTCCCACGCCTCTACGGGCTCAGGAGAGCTTTGTTACCGCGGCTCCAAATCCCGAAATACAAATTAAAAAGGAAAGGGAGCTACTAAAGAACTTCTGTCGGAAGCAAAGGCGGAAAACTCCATGGGGCAGGTCGGGCCGGCTGGCCCAGGTCAACGCGAGGGAACACTTTTTACCCTCCTGGGATGACCCAGGGCAGACAGCGGACGGGCATCAACCCCTCCCCCCCACTCACCACCCTCCTTGCCCCGGCACTCACCAGCAGCAGTCCCACCGCCCACGTTCCCATCGCGGCGCCCGGCCCAGCTTCAGTGCGCTGCCCTTCGCTCACGGCTAAGCTCAAAGCGAGGCACCTCCGCCTCCTTTTTATAGGGCCCAGCCCCATCTAGCCTCCGCCCCGCGGTTGAACAAGAAAGGGCATCGGGCAGCAGCTACGCAAGTATGTCGAAAACGCGCTTCTGAGCGGGGGTCCCACGTTAGGGTATGTCCCGGTAGCTTCCCTTGCACTTAACAAGAGCAGGAGGAAGCTGGGGTGACACGTTGGGAATTGGACCGGTTCCTGGCTTTCTAACCAAACCTCTCATCCTGTTGCTAAAGGGCTGATTGCTGATCGTACAAACGAGAGGCAAAAGCTGGAAGAATTGCTCAAAACTCACACAAACAGGGTGCATAACCGGGCTTTCTTAATTGCCAAAAGGTTTCTCGAATTTTTCAACATCAGGGTACTGCTCCTGGACAAATAACAGCAGCGTAACTGGCATGCAGCAGCATTCATCTCCAGATGTTGAAATTGGATCAAAAATAATAGCATAAGAACGCTTAGATATTTTCTTTGGGGATTATTTTTCAATCCCTTGTGGCAGTGGCATTAAATGTCAGAAACCTCTCTGCTTATGCGTAATTAATTTCTGTAGATTAATAGCTTCTTTCATTGAAGTATTCCTCTCACGGTAACATTTATTTTATTTGACTGCAGTAACAAGTCCCAGTGAAATCCCTGTGGATGTGTAGTTTTGCAAAATGGAAAGGATCCAAAGAACCTGAAGCATTCATCTCACACTTTGTAAAGGCTTCCTGTTCGGCACTGCTTTTCTTTGGATCAATTTTTTTTTTTTTTTTTTTTTTTTTTTTTTGTGTCTTTTTTTTTCTCAAACCCAGATTAGTATATATGTATATATTTACTTATTTTGACACCAGTCAAATATAACTATTCCCTTGGAAGAGCAGAGGCTCCTCTCAGTGGCTTTGTCCCAAAGGGGGATGTGCCTGATGAGGAAGGCTGCGCTGACAGGCCAGAGATGTGCAGAAGTATTCAAAGTAAGATTATGCAGGAAATTAGTAGGTATGTTTGCACAACTTCAGGAGCAAACATTTCCAAGGTCCATATAGGACCTTGCTTAGCCAGAGACTGAACACTGTTCCATAGGCACAGGCCAGGGGGACAGGCTTCCTTGAGATTTACCCTGTATGGATCAGACTTTCTCAGAAGGGAGTGGCTCAGATGATGCATTCCAAAAGGTGTTGAAAATGTTTACATTCTTCAAGGATGAAGAATCCTTTGTTTCTTTGGAGAATTTTTCTTAATCAATCAATCTCACCAGTTAAAATTTGTGATTTGTATTAAACAAAACTGCAATGTTGACTTCTGGGTGCTGCCCCTTATCCTGTCTGTTCATATCAGAGAGTTGTGGTTTTCTTTCCACACTGCTATCTTTTTGCTATTATCAACCTACTTCCTTAGCATTAAGGTTTTAAGTCCAAGGTAAGTCTGTATGACAGTGAAAATCATGGCATCCACTTTTCTTTGTCTTTTGAGGAGGTTGCTGCAGCACAGTTTGAACCAGATGAATACCAAAATGCTACTGCTATTCTAAATTATTGTGTACAGCTGAATCCCTATTCATATAGTTTCTTCTCTAAAAAGCACAACTTACGAGTCATTTGCTGATAAGATACACAAATAATTTCTCAGACAGCCACTGAAAGTTGTGTGTAATTTTATTTCAACATATCAAGCACAAACAGGTTTCCCCTACTTGGGGAATATGACGAGGAATGTAGTTAAAAATTTGGAAACATTTACATTGAAAGATAGCCCAGACTGGCACCACCACTAAGTATTTTAAGGCTGTATATATAGCAGTACTTACCACTTGGATCTACTTCAGGCCAAAAAAGAAAGGCTTAGTATAGTCTGCAGTCTACAGAAAATATTGCAAATCTTTTAAAAATGGTGTAAAATAGGAAGACTATTAACAGATTTGAACAATGCAGTGGCAAAACCCTTCCTCCTTCCTGACCTTTCACAATAAAAGTGCCTACAACCAACCACATGTACACCCATTGCTCCCATCCTTCTCATCTCTCCTGGGGCAGTGATTCTTCTCTACAATGCTTTTGTGTAATATTATAAAACAGCCATATAGCAAATAATAACAATAATAGTATGTGACCAGGTTTTACAAACAGACATATCTGACATGGTGCTCCATGGGCCCGGTGCAGGACACCAATCAGCTCTGGAAGTGAATCAGGAGCTTTCACTGAATACTTCTCATTTCCTAAAGAGGAATGGCACTCGGAAGTTGTGCATATTTACAACTACCGTGGAATGGAAAACAAAATATCCTGAGGTCCCGTTCTGCGTGTGTGTGCTGACAAAACAAATTATGACCTAATATCCTGGGGGGTGGATTTTTTGGACCAAGTATGCTCCCTCCCATAATTAAATGCAGCCAGACGGGCACAGTGAACATCAGTTCTGTACAGCTCCCCAGCTATACTCCCTTCCTTGGAGAGCTATAAACCAGGCATGTGTGCCTCTTTTAAAACACTCCTGTGTTTTACCATTTTGGGGGTACCAATACCGGTGGGTAATTAGTAATTGCATCAGAAAATGATGAAACGTAGAAAACAAATTGCACGATTAAAGCTACATTTGGCTTCAGCATTAAGGCCCATACAGGTTAAGAGGTCCTTGAAGATGTACATGTAAAAGGCAAAAATGACATAATCTGCAGGAACAATGTTCCTAGGTCCCTTTTCCACCTTGTTTTTCAACTTTCTTCCATCTCAGCTGCGTTGGTTCTAAAGTGCTTTGGTGCCTCGCTGGACTCATCGTGTGAGTGCCCCCCCCTTCCTGCAGTCGTTATTGCTGCCAAACGTGGTGCATTTATTTGAAGACATAATTAATGAATAGCTGACATGTAAGAAAGATGCAAAGGAGAAACCAACAGCGAGAGTCCAGCAGAAAGCTTCCAGAAGAGACCTTCCTGTGGAAGGATTTTTTGTTCAGAGCGCTGAGGTTTCTGGAAGAGAAAGAAATATTTTTATTTGCATGTTGGAAGCAATGAACGGACACCCAGAGCCCCTGAGCTTCCATACAGGCAGGGATCCCAGCACTTAAGAGGCACCCTAATGGGTATGGTACTGCGTCCTACAGACTTTCCTCTCCCCCTCTTGACAGAAAGTTTAAGTACTTCCAGGTGCTGCTGGATCAAGTAAAGCATGCTGGCTGGCATGAGGAGGTGTAACGGCACAAAACCTAAGAAATCTCTTCCTGCAACACTGCTCACAGATCATAGACATAGGATAGCTTATGTTGGTAGGGACCCTATAGATCACCCAGCCCCATCCCCTACCATGGGCTGCCCCCCACCAACTCAGGCTGCCCAGGGCCCTATCCAGCCTGGCCTTGAGCATCTCCAGGAATGGGGCATCCACAGCTTCTCTGGGCAGCCTGTGCCAACGCCTCATTGCCTGCTGAGTAAATAATTTCCTCCTAATATCCCACATAAATCTCCTCTCTTCTAGTTTAAAACCATTCCTCCTTGTCATATCACTATCAAATGGTATAAAAATTCAGTCAAGAATTAGTTCTGTACACTTCAAAGAGCAGCAAAGAACAATTAAAATCATGTAAGCAATTGCCTCAACATCCAGAAATGGTGAGTCTAGCATATGATCCTGCTCTATTGATAATTTTGTAGAGCTGGATAATAGTTCTCATGCACCAAGGTTCCCTGGATTG